AGAGAGACCTTTTAAGTGTAGATTCTGTGGCAAAACTTTTACACAAAAAGGTCCTTGCATTGTGCATGAAAGAGTTCACACAGGAGACAAACCTTACAAATGTAGATTCTGCGACAAAAGTTTTAAAGACCAAAAATCTTACAAATGTAGATTCCATGAGGAAACTTTTACACAAAACAATTCTAGCAAACTTCATGAAAAAAATCATACTGGAGACAAACCTTTTAAGTGTAGAATTTCTGTGAAAACTGTCACCCCAGAAGGGAATTGCACTTACCATGAAAGATATTACACTGGTGACAAAACTGTTACACAAGGTTTTTGCACTGTCCATGAAACCATTCATACTGGAGAGAAGCATTATACATGCAAATTCTCTCGCAAAGAGTTTATAACAAAATTGGCCTGCACTAGCCCTAAAAGAATGAACACTTGTGAGAAACCAGACAAATGTGGAGTAGAATTCAGTCAAGGGAATAATTGCAGAACACATGAAACAATGCACAACAAAAGAAAACATGATTCTAATAATATACATGGAACTTTTAGCAATGAAAGTGGACATAACAGTTTTCTAGATTCAGAGGGGGAGAGGGATGTTATAAAGAATGTGGAAAATAAACTGACCAACAATAATGCCGTAACCCATCATATATATGAGGAAGACAGAACAGAATACAATCATAAAGATGATGACACTTTTACCACGGAGAATATCACCATCATTACTGACAATGATGTCTATGAAATACTTACTGGCATAAAAAGGACCACACCAGGTCTCATCATAACAATTATAAAAAATCCTTTCTACGCCTTTCAATGATGTGTTCAGATAACAAAAACAAACTATTACCTTATAAATTTGCTATTTTTGGACAACTAAAGAACAATCATATGTAACTGCTTCAATTTTTATTTGTTTAGTGTTTATCAATAATCATTCAGAATATATTTTATACCTTGTAGGTTCAGTATTCATCGGAGCATTTTCTTCCATGACCAGACACATTGTCTATGATAGATCATCTATAATAAAAGAATCGTACTTAGTCAAATACATGATATGGGGGCGTCTCGATAGTCCGAAGGTTCATTGGTCCGAAGGTTCATTGGTCCGAAAAGTGGTAACATTTTCATCGATTTTTTAATCAAGGGTTCATTGGTCCGAAGGTTCTATAGTGAACATTCAGACCAATGAACCTTCGGACTATTGAACCTTCGGACTATCGCTACGGCCCCCATGATATTACACTAGAAAATCCCTCTCTATCTTTATTGTTGAAAATAGAAAGGGAAATAAACAAGTGTTTCATTTTCATAATTTAGATTATTTCATTTTTTAATGTATCAAATTGATATATATATCCAATGACTTAGCGGCAGAATAAAGAGTAAAAAAAGAAACTTTGTTTTGTTCAATTAAGAAAAGATCAAACTCCAAATGAATACTTGATTAAACCACGACACATATTACAGACTTTAAAGTAACAGATTCAACGGCAGCTTGACAAATGAGATGTTGAAAGTGTTTAAAATCTCAATAAATAGAAAGAAAGAAAAATGAAAAAAAAAAGAAAAACACCTATAAATGTAATACTATATGCATTGTCTAAAAGAATTCAATGTTTTATTGCTGTTCTCTGTCAGCACAATTTCAATATTTTAAGTTATCAACTGAACACAACAGTCCACCTAACACTGGCAACATTCTGTATCAGTTAACCATAAGGAATGCTGAGCTGTTGTCAACAAATGAAATTCTAGCATAATAATAATAATAAATCCACATACTATTTTACTGTAACAAATCGAAATGTCAAAATATGGAAAATTTGGTGAAAAAAAAAGAGGCTAACCCATTCCTGTCTTCTAACTGATTTTTATCTGCTATCTGCACAAATCTCAAAAAACTTGCTTTTCTAGCTACAGAAATCTGTTGACAGAAATTTTATGTCTGATCATAGGTAATTATTGATACCATATATAAACTTAGTATTAATACAAAATCTATGAAAAATGCAAATATAACCCATTGACGGTGGCCCCTGTATTGTGGTCAACTGATGACCCCAACACTAATGGTCACTTTACCCGAGTGTCCTTAGTGCTGTCTTCCTGACTTGTTAACAACTGACCACTAAGTGAAGGCCTTGGGTTGCCGGACCTGGGTGGAAATAGTGCTGCGATCACTCTTTCTTCGTGTAGAACTTGGACATAAATATTATAAATATTACGTAGTTGATTGTGAAAGAGTTGACCCCCCCCCCTCCCCCCTTTCCCCCTCTTACGCCTAATTAAGGTTTGAAAATGCATAATAATAATAATAGTGAATGCTTCTTAAATAAATTGACTGGTTAGTGCTGAGGGAACGCATTCGGCCCCTGGTTGTGAAAGGGTTAAATGCCCCCCTCCTCCCGTCTCGCCCTATTGCAGCTTCTCACCCTGAGCTTCAGAGATAACTTGAAACAAACCTCTACATTATGGCATACCCTTGTCGTTACCAGTTACTTGAAACGGCAAGGGTTAATTGCTATTAAGATCTGAAGTTCAGGGTGCGGCTCCTACACCTGTGTGTCAAAACTATCGTTGGCTGGTTCATCTTCTGCCGGGAGTTGAACAGTTAACGTGGTCAACAAATTTTTAGGGAGACACTGATGGCATAGAGATGTATCATATTTTCTGAAAGTGCTACACGGTGGAACTGAAAAAGTGGGATATTTTTACACTTATCTAAAAGATTGTAAAAGACTCTGATTATAGCAGCTCCACGTTTTATTTATATTTTGCTGTTGAACTGATACTTATCTCACCCGTCCACCTCTCCCGAAAATGTTCCACTCCAGAAAAAATCAATAATGCTATGGGAGAATTGTACAGGCAATTGACCTACATTCTCCACTGCAGTTATTGGCGCTAGTTTAACAATGTTATGACTTGGACGTGATAACGTGATTCACGCCTATGATATGAAGGTTTATAATTTATATAAATAAATTAATTAACAGGGCGTGTCGATCAAATAATTGAAAAGTTGTGAGGGTAAAGGGACATCGTTGTTTACAAAAGTAATAAAAACTGTACATGACTCAAAAACAGAAAAAATGCATTTTTCTCTTATATGCAAATTAGATTACCTGTAGTAATATAAGGTTGTCCGGAAGTGATGTTCACATCAGAGATTTCAAATCGCGGCAATCTTGATCACTTTAGCTATCTTAATTTCTATTATTTGATAAAAAAAATACATATTTGAAGCTAGCAAAAGTAATTTCCCCAAAGAAAAATAACAATTTTCTTCTTTATATTATAAATCATTTCTCGAACCGCCCTTCGGAAGAATTTTATAACAGCTAGAAGGCTGAGAAGGGCTTCTTGACGAGAGTCCCGGTGTACGCCCCCTCCCTCCCCTCGAGAGGTACTGTAAAGATCACTTTTATTAATATGTTCCAGCGAATAGGAAAAGTTTAGATATAAATAACTCATATTCTAATGCTTTTTTTCGCATTTTGTCTGTGGTTCTGCTGAATTTGAGAGAGAGAGAAAGATAGAGAATTTGTCTTACGTTAGATCGCGAGGATGTGGTATTCAACTGCCATGCAATTTCCATAATTTTCATGTCCATATTGAATGATCAATTCGGCATTAAGATTAAGATAACAAGATTATTCGAATAATAAAGAAATTGAGAAAAAAATTCAAATTCAAGAAGGATTGCATTTTTTATTATCCACACAATCTTATATAGTTTATTTACTTTGGAATAATGACAATGAATACATACAATCACATATACATGTAGCAGATCTGATCTTCCAGCCTGTTTAATCTATCGTGCTAAATTACATAATTCTTTTTTACTGGACGTATTCAGCAGGAGAACAAGTTTGAAGACAAGGATTTCTACCAAAAAAGGCTTTTAAGCTATTAAAATAAACTTATTCCTGATACTAATCCAAATGCAATAATTTACCAGTTGACTTTATTTTGGTTTTTCAACTGAAAACGTACTCATTTTTCTCGTTTCTAAAAATAAAATATGCGACTGATATCTTAATTTTTTTTACTACAGATAGAGATATAACAGTTACCTAGATAAATGCCAGACTTTGCCAGACTTGGCCCAGATCTGGCAAGTGTCTGGCAAAATCTGGCCCAGATATGGGCCAGACGTTGCCAGATCTGGGCCAGACGTGGGCCAGATTACTGAGGCTGTCTGGGCTGTGTCCAATCTCGTAAAAATTAACCTCCTATTAATACATGGAATGGATATGCGTGTCAATCCTGGTGCAACACAAATGAAAAGAGAACGCGGTAAAAATTCTGTCATGGTTGTCGTAAGGCACAACCTACCACCGGTCTTATTCAAAATAAAGTAGAATCTACCTCGAGAGAAGACACTCATCGTGTCACCTTAAAACAAAGCGGTGAGCGACTTGTCACACCTAACACATTTTCATCAATTCTGTGGAAGACGTCGCAATCATGTTGAGACAGAACAGACGCCAGAATATCACCCTGTATAATAATGATTATTTCTTATTTATTGATAAGATATTGATAACCCAGAGGGTTGAAGTTCTAGATAAATATTAAGAGCACTACAATAATAATAAGATACATTTTAATGAATCTAAGGTTTCATTCCATTTCGTTCTATGTAGATCAATCCAAC